TATCTAACTTTCTCAATGAATAATATTATCTGTGAAGTTGTGCCTTCTATTCGTAATAAAGATAAACTTAATGTTCAATGTGTCGATCAAATGAATGTGTCGGTCAAACAAATATGTCGGTCAAATGATTGTCGGTAAAGTGTTTGTCGGATAAAACGATCATGTCGGTAAGGTGTTTGTCGGTAAGATGACTGTCGGTAAAACGAGTGTCGGTTAAATGCACCAGACCCGAAAATTACCGCAAGTGCTTCCCTGGCACTTGGTCAATATGTAAGACACGATATTTCTCTTTTCACAAGAACTTTAGCAAGAAAATTAGAAAATATAGGTGTGGAAATATCATATAGAACCCAAGGGACACCGAATAACACATGCTAAAACGTGTTGAGTTATGGTGGAGGAATGGCAAAATATTTCAGAAACTTTTTAATCAATCTTTCAAAGACAAATGAGACGATATTCATTTTTTTTTCAGTTTACCGTTTAAAATTTCACGTTGAATTATTGTATTCAAAATTTACCGATTTTTTTGTTTGATTCTCATTTTTTTTTGTCCCACACTGCACTAAGTAACTTCCCAATACGATCGTTAAGTTAATTTATGAAACGTTTGTTGAAAATCCTGTGGAAGTCATATTTTGGAATCGTAAGCTAATATTTTACGTTTATGCGCTTGTGTTCTTGGATCTAATACGGAATAAAGACTAAAAATACGAAAATAAATTAACAAATCGACTTTTAAAAAGAAAAGGACTTAATTATTTATATCAAAAAATAACACTTATTAGATTTTGATATTGACATAAAATCATAAAAATGCATTATATTGATTCCTTAATTAAAGTAGTTCCTACTTGATTCCTGTGTAAAATTGAATTAAGAAAATTTGATTTATTATAACAATTGAAGAAACAAATTTTATAATACTTTATTTGATATTATTGATATTCTAGTGAGTTAAATTATAAGTATTATATTTGTACTGGTTCTATTTTATTATACCTACTAATTAAATATATAATATATATAATACATACTTATTCAGTTAATATAATAGATTTTAACTAAAATTAATAATTTTAGAATTTAAAATCTGTTTTTATATTTACCTAAAAATCCTATATATTTGTTTTAAAATAAAATATATATATATAATTAAGAACATATTAAATTTTAAATGATAATCACTATTGAATTCAATTTGCTTATATTAATCAGTTACATTTTTTATGATTATTAAATTTAAAATTAATAAATTTAATTAAATTTAAATCAAATTAATAAAGATTTAATTTAATTTAAATAAATTAATAAAAGCTATTTCTTAAGCTTTTAAAGGCAATTTTTATTAAAATTTGCTTAATAAATGATGTATTTAATTTTAAAGATATTTTATACTACTATTATTTTTAAAAATAATATTATTATAATTTTTTTCTAATATTTAATTATTTTATTTATATTTTACTGATTATGATTAAGTTTAATAAATAAATATATTACTATGTTTTAAAAAAATTAATCAAAAATTAATGATCTTAAACTTATTAAATTTATTTAATCATTTAGATTCAAATAGTAATTATTTTATAAAAATCAAAATAATATTGAATTATTATTAACTTTTTATATTTTAAACATTTTAATTATAAAAAATCATATGATATCCCTTCGTCTGTAATGCAGGCAAATTTGCCTGCGAACATAAAAAAAAGTATTAATTTTTTAATAAAAAATAAAATATTAATGTT